GGGGGGGTTCCTCTGCTCTCGCCGGTAACCCCGTAATCGCTGCACAAAACTCTAGAAGTCATCTGATCGTAGGTTAAATTTTTTTGTCAATGAGAATGTAAACCATTTGCAGTCAAATCACACACTCCACACAAGCATTACTTACACAGAAAAACATGCCCCCCCCTCTCCACTCTCACACACACACATACACACACTTACACACGCAGACAATCAGTACATAATTATGTTGTGTTACACGTTTCGTTTCGCTGTCGCACGCAGGAGACCCGAGTTCGATTCCCAAGGACTTTTTAATAATAATAATAATTCCATTTATATAGCGCATATGCATGCTCAAGAGCATGCTCTATTCGTTTTACAACTATTATTACCCCAGCAGACCCTCTGAGAACACTCAGAAACATTCTCAGCTTCCGAGGAAACATACAGTGCAAGCTGCAGATTTCACGCGCTCAAACACTATCAAACTGACAAGATCTTTCACTGTCTATAGCCGGGTACCCATTTCCACCTGGATGAAGTGAGGAAAATTTGAGCAAAGTGCCTTTCCCAAGGACACAACGTCGGGCCCCTGGCGGGATTCGAACCCACGACCTTACGGTTGCGAGTCCGAGAGCCTAACCACTAGGCCACCGACGCCATCAAGTCGCTACCTCAGAACTATAAAGTTCTATCTGCTCAGCATCTAGTTTGGAGAAATTTGACGTCAAACACTTTTAGCCAAGCTTTATCAAGTGCAATTCTTTGAATATCTTGATAACTGCTCCGAATAATCTTACGATTTTGATAGAGCAGATAGAACATTTGGTTTTTGATCTCTTGGTCTTATTAACTCAAAACAGCCAAAAGTCTCAGATAGACTGTCCCCGTGGTTTTATATACCCCGCATAATTTAGCCAAATTTGATCATTTTTGGGCCTAATTTCAGATTATTTTCCTTTATCATTTTTTGTTAAAATTAACAGAATCGCATAATTCACATTTTTGGGCTCAGTTTGCATGATTACAGAATTTTTCTGGCATAAAACGACGGGGACAGTTTCTGTCACTTTGTAATTTTGAGGTAGCGAAGTGTCTCGGTCTTTCTGCTGGGATGTTGTCTAGCTCGGGCTGGCGTGACAGGCAGGGTCAAAACTCGCCTTCTGAATGATCTAAATTGTGTCGATAGGGGCATAAAACACCCCTCATTAAACACAAACACACATGCATGCGCGCGCGCACACACACACACACACACACACACACACACACACACACACACACACATACACACACACACACACACACACACTTATACAAACACACACAAAAACATGCATGTCCTTTACACACACCCTCACCAACACACACACACACACACACACACACACACACACACACACACACACACACACACACACACACACACACACACACGCGCGCGCTCACACGCTCACAAATAAACACACATACGTATACAGGTTTAATTTCGGAGTCCCACATTGTTTATATATATTTAGACACACATGAATAAGCCCGTTTGCGTTTGTTTTTGTTGGCTAAACTGAAACGAAAACAGAATTTCGCATTCTGATTATACCGCAAGAGAGCTTTTTCTCGGACATAGTCTGCGTATTGCAGTTATATTAACCCTTTCAGCCCCATGCACATATATTTTCGTTTGTGCTTGTACCTCCACCCCCCCCCTCCCCGCCCCCAGAGCGTATGTTCCCAGTTTCCGAGGGTACTGAATTTGCGCATTTTTCGAAATTAACGAACCTAATTAAACATTAATTTTCATAATATTTGCTCATTTGCCTTTAAATATTGTTATATATTATTATCTAATCCTCATTACATAGATACTGAATCACTTTTTAGGCTAGTATGTATGGCAAATTTTCTGAAATACTGCTGTTTTGGCTGGGACTGGGGTTAGGGAGTGCACAAAAATGGCTGAGGCTGGAAGTGTTAAGTACATTTATTGACGTCGCAAATGTTGGCAAATCTTTGGCAACTTTCGCAATGAAAAAAACCCAACCCCGGTAAAGATTGATTCGTATTGAGTTATTGAGTTCTGTGACACTTAATTATGGTGAGGATTCCCCTCTATGTTAATTTTTTACACCGTTACGTTTCTTTGATGAAACGCGAACTGCTCAGGTGCCAAAAATAACTCTGATGTGCAAAGAATGTCTGCAGGCGTTTACCTTTACTTCTAAAAGGCTTATTCGTCAACTCAGTTCAGAACGTGCGTTGTTTTTGCGCACAGAAATATTGGCTCTGAGAATTGATCTGATTTAAATATAATGTGATGTTCTCTAACAATTTTTGTTGTTGTTGGTATTTGTATTAGCAATCGTTTTGCGGCACTTCCAGCACAATGTCATATATAGATGCCCAAGATTAGAGGTGTTACAAGAGAGTGACAAACACAGAACAAGAGGAGAGACAAAGGCGATAGCTGTTTGATAGGAAAGAAGAAGCAAACCACACCAGAGCACCTGCCAACCACCTGCTGTCTTAACATTTAGTGTGTACAAATTTGTCTATTGTTGGAGGGAAACATTTAGATTTATATAGTGTAGCAAGAGAATACATTATTCATGTAATAGTATTTTAACATATCATTGACGAGACCCAAGACTGCACTTGACCGTGCACGTTCTGTACTCCGCTATTAGTCGTTGAAGACTCACTTTTTCCGTTTCATTTTTGTTGTTGCGAAAAAGCAATTTCTCAGAATCCTGTATCTGTTTATTTGATTGTGTTGGCGAACAGATGGGAAAGTAATTGAGTGCAATTTGACCTAATTCGAGTCTTTCGGCAATGTTAGCAGGGATTGGGAGAAACAGTTTTGAACTGAAGAGGACGTAAGAGATACAATTGTTACTGGTGTGTAAATCTCAGTTTTAGTGAGAACCCCGATCCTCCCCCCCAAAAAAAACCCAACAAAACAACAAAAACAACAACAAACAAACCCAAAAAACCGGCACTTGCCACACGATTAGGACATATAAGTGCCGAAGATTAGAGGTTTTACTAGAGAGTAACAAACAAAGAAAAGGAGGAGAAATAAGAGAGACAGATGTTTGATAGGAAAGAACGAGCACCAGAGCACCCGCCAACCATCCGCTGTAAATCTACGTTTAGCCCGTAGCTTCCCAGCTCCCAGTTGATCCTCCACTTCTTTGTGATAATTATCCGTATCATCTTTTTTTGCGAGGAGCATCAAATGGCCTTCCTTATGTCCATGTGCTTTTAAGAAATATTGTAAACATGCCCTGACGTGGTCTGTTGCTTCTGATTTGCCGTCTTCCGCCTGCGAACTAATCAGCTCAACTACCACTTGAACAGAATAAATCCAGAACTTCCCCCAATGTGTCCATTGTATGACTACGCATATGAGACTGTGGATCATCACCTGTTCCACTGCACAGCCTTAAAATTTTGTCTGATGGTGACGAACTATGATCGTGATCATGCCGTAAACTTCTCAACATTGATGATTTTGTTTTCACTCAATGATAAGAGGAAATCAAGGGGGGGGGGGGGGGGGAGGTTATGAGTAACTAAAAGGTTTAACATCGACTACATCAGTAAAAAAAAAAAAGAAAAGAAAAAGAACCATCCCAAAATCCCAAATAAACCACAAAACAATACAAAGCAGAAAAAAGTATCCCACTATGCGAACCCGTTTTGTACTCACTCTAAGAATGTTTCACTGATGGAAACCTCACGTAAACCACAATCGCTGGGGACATTCCTTTCCTCTTATAGTTTAGAATTCCAGAAATGTCACCAGACACTTTAGTGCATGGACCTGCTGTATCCAAGGAGTCAGTCCTGATGTGCGTTATATAAATGCATCTCGGTACCCCCACAGAGTCACACATGTGTGTCGAGCATGCTGTCCTCCCAGCTTTTGATCCAAGATCCAATTCTCCTTTCGTTGGAGAGAATCGTTGCTTTCTACTTCTACTGCTCCCTCCCGTCGTGTGAGCCAACGCCGACTGTCGAGACCACTCACCCGCCTCACTCGCTCCACTCGTTCACGGCCCTCCTAGGCCTACGGAAACGTGATGTCAAACCCACGTGATCTTTGTGCTCGTGACGGTTTAGAACGCCCGCATCCGCCCTCGCTTTTGTCTTATCGCCCGAGCGCCTCCCACTGTTGTGGAATGTGAGAAAATGTCAACAGTAGTCCCAGAGCAACGGAGAGTTGTGCAACATCTGGCCTGAAAATAGTAAAGTAGTATGTTTTTTTTTTCGGCACTGAAGAAATCACGTCGTTTTATGCAAGAAAAATTCTGAAATTCTGCAAACTGAGCCCCCCAAAAATGTGAAATTATGCGATTCTGTTAATTTGAACAAAGAATGATAACGGAAAATAATCAGAAATTATGCAAAAAAATCAAATTTTGCTAAATTATGCAGGGTGCAAAAACGAAACAAAAAACAAAACAAAACAAAAACACACCACGGGGACAGACTGTTGATGATGTGTTGGAAGCTAAAGAAGTCAAATGAGGCAGTGCTTGAAGCAGAAACTCATATGGCCGCTCGCTGCTGAAAACAGTAATAAGGGACAGACAAATAAATGCAGTTTCTGGGATACTCCAATAGACATAAGGGTCTTGAACATCTGGCTCTCTCTGGTAACATTAAAGGCAAACGGGACAGGGATAGACCCAGAGCAACTTATTTGGAGAGCCCAAACTGATGGGTGACCGGCTATACGTTCTTACTCTCTGAGCGTCAAGGTGACATGGAAAGGTCAGGATAAAATACCCCACGGAGTGGTGCTACTGGGCTAAAGTGTCTTTAGTTTAGGCCATTCTCAAAAGGGGGCCGGGGGGAGGGGGGTATATCAATCATTAACTTCTCTAGTTCTCATGCACAGTAGAATTGTAATTGTAAATGGCCTGCTCTGATTCATCAATGTCATGCTCATAACTGTGCCTGAACTGCGACAGGGAACTGCTGCCTTTTCTGTCCTAATCCTTACTATCGTAATT